CTGCTTGGCACTGCACAGGGGGGGGCTTGGCTACCCACACCCCAGTGACGGCTCCATCTCGCCTCGGTCCTTTGTGGCCACATAAGATTGGGGAGACGCCTCTGCCAGACCCTTCCTCTGAGCGCCAGTGCCACTGCACGTGGCAAGCTGGGGTCTGCCAGCAAGCCAGAGTCTGACGGTATGTGTCGAGCTGGGGTCAAGCCGGCAGCCCTCTCCTCAGCCAATACAGCTGCACTCAGCTGCTGAGAGCTTCTCCACTGTCTGCCATGTGTTCTCCACGTCCATGAAGGAGACAGCCTCATAGCGGGTGGGTCGGCAAAAAAAAGGCCCTGGGGCGATGGGCTGCGGTCGCAGCAGGCTGCCCAGCGTCAGGTCATAGTTGCTGCGTGCCCGGTGGCAGGACCCGCTGCAGTACTTGAAGAGTACGATCTCGTCCGAGTTGAAGCCCAGGCCCAGGTCGCGCACCTTCACCATCAGGTTGCGAATGTGGCAGTTGCCCCCGCGGCTGCCTCGTGAGGGTTTCCGTGCCCCCTTCTTGGCTTTGCCAGCAGCCGGTGGTGAGCGCTCAGCACGAAGCAGCAGGTCATCTGCCAGCTCTGAGGTGCCTGGGCCACCTGTCGTCGTGTTGTCCCCTGCACGTGGAGGATATGGCACCATCAGACCCCATCCCGCACCCATTGCCCTCCTGGGGCCACCTGAGCCTGCCTGCCCCCACCGTGACCTACGAATCCCTCCTGACCACCCACCATGGCACTGGCTGGGTGCCCACGAGGCAGTGGGGTGAATGGGTACACAGCCAAGAATCTTCTCATCTCTAGGGCTCTGCCGCCACCCCCACCATGAGGTACAGGGCTCCATGTGTTGAGTGTCCCTCAGCCCAGCCCCAGTGTGCAGCCACTGCCCGCCCCCACACAGGCTGGGGCTCCCCACGGCTGCTCCTAACCTGCCCGTGCCACACACATGGGGCTCACATGCCCAGACTGGGGATCCTGTCCCAACACACACCATACAGCTGGCTCCAGGCAGCGGCGAGTGGTGCCTCCACACCAGACTCCACAGATGGGCTGGCAGTGGCCATGCCCTGCGGCGTGGGGGCTGCGTCCAGCGTCTCGTTGCAGTGTGGTGTTCGCAGGGTGCCTGTGGCCAGCCCAGCCAACAGTGACAGGATGGCGAGGAGCCCCCACAGTGTTCCCTCCTACGACAAAGCACAGCACAGCACCGTGAGCCCCAACCAGGACCCCCACACCTGAGACAAGGCTCCATGAGCTGGGGATG